TGGGAGTGAGTATTTGAGGGTGAAACCTTTGACTTCTCAAAGGTTTGAGATCATTAAGGAAATTCTATCTTATACTTTTGTGTGTTAATTAGTTTATTGATTGATAATTAATCATTGAAATGTGTGGAATAAAAAGAAATGCAAGTTTGGTATGAATTGTTTGAAAATTCACTGGGTTGATTTTTACAAGTTCAATGACTTTTTATATGAAATTCTTTGAAACATTATTAGTGGATTTTTGTATTGTGATTTATTGAGAGTTCAATGATTAATTGCTATAGAAATTCAATGATTTTGTGTTTAGTGGAGTATAATGATTATTGTCAATGAAGTTTCATGAGTACATATGTTTATTAGGAGTTCAATGAGATTAGTAACATGGAGTTCAACAATTTGATTGTCTATATTATGTGATTATCATGTATATGATTAGGTACAACGATAAGGTGATACATGCTTGGTTATTGAGTAAATGCATGTTTTGAATTGTGCATATCTATGTATTATATGATTTTAAGAGGTGAGAGTTTGCCTAGGTAGAGGAGTAGAGATTTAAATCTAAGTGATAAGGCTCCCATCCGAGTTGATGGTGTGCTTTGATTGTTGTTTATATATTATCTCACTTATTTAATGAGAGACCATCCCATTGGTTCAATAAGGGATTTAAATCTAACTAGCTATTCACTTATTTGATAAGGAAGCTAGTCTAGAAAGAATGACATCTCAAAATGTAAGAAATGGGAAAAACCATGACTCATAAGTGAGCTAGGAAACCTTGGCCGGGTAACCACTCACAAGTGTTTTAGCTAAGGTAGTTTCAGTGTATAGACGAACTCAATATGTGATAGCCCATGGTTTCATGTTAGAAAAAATAAGGAGAATATAAGGGAGGTTTCATCATGCATATGGTGAGAAAAGGCATATGGTTGCTACATTGTGACCTTAATGAAATAAATGTGTGAAACCTTGTTCTTTATGAAATGGAAATAATTTAATTAATATCTCATAAGTATGTATCATTGTGAATGAGAATGTGGTTGTAAGCTCTTGAAAGCATGTTTTATAATTTGTTGATGATAACTATCTCATGTGCATGTATTGATGAGAACAAAAAGGTTAAGATATGCTTTTGAATATGTATGTGTGTGTGTGTGTTTTGAAATTGCTTAATAACTTGTCACTTGTATTTAAATTAATTAATATGCATTAGTATGAGTTAGTTGAGCCTTGGTTACTTAATGGTTATACTCACTCCGTTATCTTCAAAATTTCAAGAAATAGCTCAACAGGACAAGATAGAGGAAAATAATTAAAGACAGAGAATTTGACATCCTATTAGTAGGCCTCTCTTACCTTTTGAGTTGTATGTGTATATGATGATTAATATTGCCAACTAAGATTAATCCATATTGAAGCTTACTTTCATTTTGTGTTTGTGAATTATATAATGTATTTTGGGCTCTAAGGTGTATGTATGCGAATTATGATATCTATAATATAGCCAAAATACTAGTGCAAGCAAGGGTTGTGTTGTAAATGTGATTCATATGGATAATGTCACACCTCAAAAATCAGGTGTGATCGGCACGAGATATGGGCACAAAACTCATATCCCTTAAGCCGTGATCAGAGAAACTATAAAGTTAATACGTTAAACACACTAATAAGGTAATTAGAAATTGTTACAATATTAAATCAAATATTCAATTTTAAAAGAAATGTGAGGGTCCTACCTATGGTCTACGTAGAACACCTAAGGCTAGACTCCAACATAAGTATAAAGTTTAAACTTTCATCAAATTATGATTTGATTAAAATAATTCTTCTGCTTCAATTCAGCAATAAAACTCCTCAGTGGATGCCTTGAGTCTCAAGTTTAACTATACCATCTGAGATCAAAATATCTTTTTTAGTGAATAAAGTCCCAACAATAAATAATTAAACATGAATAAAAGAAAATTTTGAAAAAATTATACAATTTAAAAAGGCAACGATCTTCATAAAAATTTAGTGAACTTAAAAATAAAAGGATTTTATAAAGTTTTAAAATAAAATATTGAACTGTTAAAATATCATATCAAATATTATTATCACTTGATTGTAAGGAAGCAAATAAATAAAATAAATAATTATAAATAATTTACTAATTAAAACCAATGGAATGTAAAATCATCAAATAATCAAATTTATATTATAAGAACTTATCAGAACAATTAAACAAATATGGACACACAGTCCACGACAATAAATAACCAAACGTGACTCTTGCCATGAAGACAAACGTGAGCACACAGTCTACGAGGATAAGTAATAAAAATACAGCTGAAATCACAAAATAAATGTTACACAATCTATAAGAGTAAGTAACCAAGCGCAGCCGAAGCCACAAAACAAACGCGAGTACCATGTTCATGAATAACCATCCCTCTGTTCCACGTGAGTTGGCCATTGCATGGGGCTAGCACCTCCTATAAACATCCTGCTAGTTAGGTGAACCATGGCACCCCAAGGGCTAAGTGTATAGAAGAAATAAAGGGGAAGAAGTCAAAACTCCCTCTACTGTATCGGCATGGCATGACGCAACATCAAAGGAAGAAAACAGGTCTGTAATGCACCTTGGTAAGAACAAAGGAGAAGGAGAGGTTTGAATGGCTTTAAGCATGACCAGGGAAAAGAGGCCGACACATGAACAAGGAAGAACAAGGGAGAAGGATTAAGAATTTTGTCATACTCATGAGCACAGCAATGATGCAAAGGTAAGGAAGAGGATAGATCAATTGTAATGCAAGAACAGAAAGGAAGAGATTGTGACTTTTTTGAAGCACCTTGCTGCCGTTGATGAACGTCTCCTACACACATACACACCCCAGTGATAAGGAAAGGAGGAATGAAGATGAAGGTGATGGGAGGGGTATTTTCCACTCAGAGCTTCTCTCTGTCTCTCTCTCTCTCGATCATTATGGAAGGAGTTAGCAAAAATAGGAAATGAAGATTGAAGCATGCGTTTTAGTCTCTGTTTCTTGTATCTATTTTTTTTATTGAAGGGCATTATGGTAATGTCACCATAGTCTAAAACTAAAAGAGAAAAAAATTCCTAGCCTCATTAAGATCAAACCCAGAACCTCTTTAAAATATGTAGGTCACATGAAGTCTACTAAACCACCATCATCTCTTGATGTATCTATTCTAGAATTAATAGAATTATAATCAAATAACTTATCACCAATTTTGTTGTTGTTGTTTACTATTGTGGGGTTATTACAATAATAATTTTACTTAAATTCCTAGGTTATTATAATTTATTCCCAAACTTTAAATAAAATACAATCAGAATTTCTTATCATAAATGTTAATTCTACTAAAATTCTGCAATTATTATAGATAAACTGTTGATTTATGAGATTTAGAACTCCCCCTCTGATTTTGAGATTAAAAGGTTGAGCATTAAAAATGTAATTTATAAGTATTTTGTATGATATGGTGCATTGTATAGGTTAGTTTTGGTCTATTTTATGTGGTTTGAGGGGTATCTATGGCTTTTGGCTTGAGGGATATGTTTTGGACACTTTGTTTTGTGAAAAATGATGAAAAAGTGCAAGTTTTGAAATGAGTATTCAATTTTTGATTGAGTAATAATTTGAGTGTGAAATCCAAATCATTATTTAAAGCTCAAAAAAAGCTTTCTTCAGACGCCTAATTCACATTAATCAGATATTAGACAAGAGAACGGGGCACATCGAAAGTTTCCCCAAAACCTATCAAATCGATAGCATAATTTTGTTGTCATGGAACGTGCAATGTGCAATGGCGCATTGTGCAACGAGCCGTGACGCATGGCATAGAGGTGAACAAGCCATGGTGCGTGTCCAACAAACTATGGTGCATGCCCCTAAAAACTATAGAATTGCATTATTTTTGACTTCTAAGAAAATGCACAGTTAAAATGATCTCATGCTTTTGCATAATTATTAACTATAATTTGTCAAATTACGAAACCTTTTAAAGTGGTTTTAGTTTTAAAAACTTGAGATCTCATCTTTACAACTTATTTGCAAACATGATAAATATGTCTTTTACCTTGAGCTAATCCCTTAATTAGGGAGTCCTAGAGTTAATCATAAATTTGAGAAGGAGGATATTATAGGTAATATTGAACAAATATTATTAATTAAATTTATTTTTGTTAAGATGTCTTGTATTTTGGAATGTTAAATTTTTTTCAAAACTGTCTTATAAATTAAAACGAAGGGAGAAACTATTAGAGGCACTTATTCATAGTAGTGAACATTTCCTTGTATGTATTTAGATACAACTATTAATCTTTGTAGTTTTATCTTGTTTCATTATTGGTTTTTGTATTTTTTTTTTGTTTTTAAGAATGACATTTAAAGCCTATTAAGATCATAATAAAGCCCATCAACTTGTATTTTTTGTTGGGGTTTCCTTAAAAATTTAACAAGATTCATCTTTTAATAATAACAAATACATATTTTTACAAAACAATATCCTATACAAACTAATAGGCCCTTATTGCGAAATGTCATTCTCCCTATTTTTTTTTTTTTTCAAGTTCCTCTAATTTTTTTTTACATGTAATATTAGCTTTTTTCATGTGTCAATGGAGATACTGACATGTTTAAATCAAAATGAATCGATGATTGCAAGTCTTTTACCTTTCATGCATCATATGCCTTGTTCAATTTCTTTTAACCAAATTAAATGGCCTTTAGGTTCTATGTATGGTGCTTCTGTCGTTTAAGCTTTCATCCTTCCTTTTTTTAATTTACTTATTAGATCGTCACCTCATCTTTATTTTAACATTCTGCACAAGATATAACATTATTGGTGACAATCATATAATTTAACACTATTAGCATCACATCATCGTCTCTCTAAAAATATTTAAAAATATAGAGACTAATGTTACCAACATACAAAACTAGAGGAACTTTAAAACATGAAAAAAAAAGTACAAGAATCAATAACAAAACATGATAAAATTATAAGGATCAATAATTATGTTTTTTTTCTTATTTGTTAAAAAAAAGAATGGACATAGTTTCACCCGTTAGGCCCAACTTCATCTATTGCTAGAAAGGGCATCCAAACTCTGCCAATCACTATCCAGTGAGCATGATCAACTCAAGTTTTATCTTCATGGATTTATGATTCCATCATATGAGCAAATCTTATCAAGTCATGCAATCCTACAGTAAGGAAGTGTACATATGATCCATCATGGTCATAGCCGCTTCAAAATTCCCTATTCCTGTTATGAGCACAAGCAAACCCTATTCATGATGATCAGATGCTTTTATATTCACATAAAAAAAAAGCCCCATTTTGTCAAATCTAATCTATCTCCAATATTCCCACGGCTCTAGTTTTGGGCAGTAGTATTGTTGTCATTGACAACTTCTTCAGTGGCACTCTGGTCCTCCGGAGAAGCATCATTATTGCCACCATCAACTGTCAGAAAACAAAGGTATTTCAACATGGTAATTATTTTTTCCTTTTTTTTTTTGTGCACAATTCATTGACTCTTGCAAGGACATACCTTCATTGTCGTCGGCTGGAGCATAAGCAGAGCGCCTTGAACGAACTTGCTGATTTGGTGTGGGCTGATGATCACAGTGAAAATGAAAGGGAACAGAAACAGACCAAACGAATGTCAAGACACAAATAAATTATTCATAGAGGCTACAATATAGCAGTTGATCAGTTTCTAGTCATGTGATGGGCCAAAAGTTGCTCATGCTGATCCCTTCCAACATTTTCTATAAAAAAGCTTTATCACAAATTTAAGGGCGGAGTTAGACACAAAATGGTTAACCTGTTTCATACAAGGCTAAGGATATTATGTTATAGACATCTAAAAAGGCTTGCTCACTACCCACATCTCTAGCTAAACCTTTAGCATCATATTACGACCTGTTGTGCCTTTTTAAAGGCTCTGTTTGAAGGATGAAAAGGTTGTCATGGAAGATCATTCAAAAGTTGTTTGGTTAAATGTGATAAAATTAACCACAAGTTGATGAATAAAGCATCTATACATCTATATATTCTATTTAATCTACATGAAGTCACATTATCCTTAAGTCATGAACCGTCTATCTCACTTCAAAGCCATGCAACGCACAGGAAAATGAGCCTAATTCAAAAGGGTGTTTGGTTCAATTCTTGCTGGTGATCCTTGGTCATCTGATTGTATTCAAAAAGGAAGAGGGACGAGAAGCTGGACCATTAGAAAGGGTAAAGGACAGAAGGAAAGGGCTGTAAGAAAACCTGCAATTTTGGACGCAGTGCTTCAAGTGGTCCTTTAGGCTTTTGTGCTCCTTGCTGTTCAAGGAATCAGAGAGAAAGACCAAGAGGCAAAGATATCAAGCACCAAAACAAAACCATGCTAAGCCTTTCAACTATATAACGATATACACGAGCTATGAGTACCTTTCCTAAAGCCCAATCAGCAGAATCAAAAAAAGCACGTTCATGGTCCTGCCAAAAATTTAAATTATGAAGATTCAGTTTATGAGGGACATTTTTACTCAAATACATAGATAATGGAGAGTAATAGGATAAGTGGTAAGAGCACATGTGAGCCAAGACTGGAGGAAAAGAAGAAAGTAACCTTGGATATTAGGGGAGGCTTCTTTGGTAAAATCCCTCCATACTTTTTCTTGATAACTTCTTCCTGCAGAAAGAAACTAGTAATAAAAGATGCTGCATCATAATTAATTTATACCCACAATATGAGACCAACAAGTACGATGGCAAAAACCGCTTACAATCACCTAGATATACTGGTTTCTAAAGCTTTCAAGTGGTTTCACCAATAACCAAACCCACTTTGGAAATAAAGATTTATACAAATTTAGAAGTAGTCGTTTCTAAAACTGAAAGGTAGATCCCTAAAAAAAAAAAAAAAAAAGCTCCAGTAAAAGAGACTTGAGAGGGGATGAGCAGAGAATAGTTCCATAAATTTTGAAAAAAAAAAAAAATTATTAGGTGCTTTTATGAGTTTATCAATAGCCATTATGTGTATAAGATTATAATGTACCAGAAATGAAGCCATAGAGCTCAAATTCGATTGATCTACTATTATCAACATCACATCATCAAATTTCGAGCTCATGTCACTTGCATCCAACTAGATAAAGAAACCACACAAGACATTACCTCCTGCTGGGATGAGGGCATGGAGTTGTCATTATTTTTATCAGAATCTTTCAGATCATCTACAGGATTGTCACAATCAATTTGATCTGTAGTTGTAATATCAGCCATCTCCTGTTTCTTGACATCCTCAACATTGGTTTCTGACATTGCTTGCTCTCTGCTCAGACAGCAACAGCAACAGTGAACAAAAAGGTTTGATGACAGTAACCATCAATGAAAAAATTAATGTTTTTTATCTTCCAAAATGATGCAAAAGTTTACATGAATTGTACAGAAGGGAGACAAACTTATTCTTTGAATAACATGACACCAGAGAGGAAATTATACAATTCATTTGTACATATTACTGAATGCGCATTACTCAAACACTTAAAAATTCAGTACTTTCTACAAGTTATAACAAACAAATCCTTTAATCAACAGTTTCTGGGATTATTTGAAGAGTGCAACTCCAATTGGTAATATCCTTAGCATTTCCTTCTTTTAGGCTTACAGTGTCAGTATATAAGTATGGTAGATTGGACCACAGGATGGGCCCATAGATCTGTTCAAACATGGTCACGGTACACGATTATCTTGTCTATATATGTACTTGTAATCAGTTCAGTTCAATGGAAGAATGATATCAGACTCTGGATGCTGGCATAGTATGGCCCAAGCCCATAGGTTTATTCAGACAAAATCAGTACATAAATTACGTTGTTATGCATGCACCCCTAATCAGTTCAGATAGTTCAGTTTGATGGAGCAACCATTTCAGACTCTGGGTACTGGCTTAAAGTATGATCTTTACAAGGTATAAGTATAATCATTCCATGATATATGTGAAACAAAGGTTGCTAAGTTACATAAACAAGAAAGCAGAAAAGCAAATACATATTTGGACAATGTATATAATTCCCAGTTAATATTATAAGAAAGAAACTTCTTGATTGTAGCCCAACTTTGTCTTGATATTCATTTGTTTGGAACTTCCTCTAAAAGAAATAGAAAGGAAGACAAAGAACATTTGAATCGCCAAGGTTAACCAAATTGTGAGGCACTAGCTACAAGGTAATAGTGTTTATTGTGATTTAAAGGTCTTTTCTAAAGAGATCAATTTTTCACAAGGTTGAGCCTTTTCACCCTAGAATGGTCCACTTTGAAATTGCAACATTTATAAGCCATAAATAGTGCATTCCACTCAAATTCTGCACAGCTATTTTTTATTCCCTCAATATTTCTTCATACATTTCAGTGGTCTCTATGCAATTTTTTTTTCCATGTTTATTCAAGTAGTTAAATAGAGTTCAAATTTTAGAAAGATTAACACAGTTTTTTTTCCTTAAAAAAAAAGGGCATTATCTATCCCATGCATTGCACGTAGAAAAAACATCTAGTTTCATTGAGAGGGGTAGAATCTCGAATTGGTCTGGTGGTAAAACAAATTAACTTATTGAGAGTTGGAACCTTCCATAGCAAAACCTGACTCGTAGAAATTTGAACAAAAAGCAACAAACAATCAATTTAGAAATCCTTATTTCACTCAGCTATAACAAAAATGTACTAGCCTACTAGGGGAGCCTGTTGACCTTATGGTTTGGTGGTGAAAGTGCTTTGCTTTCGCCTCTTTAAACCACGAGTTGAAACAAGGCAGTTCCACACACACTACAACAAAAACGTACTAGGGAGAAAATACACGATGCAGACCCATTACAGTCTCTTCAGAAAACTGTCAGCCAGGAAGCAATCACATGACATGATCACGTCAAACAAATTGCATCGATAGAAGCATAATTAGAGATTCAAAGCATGATAAACAAAGAAAACCCTCATTTTTTAACTGAAAAATTAATCAGCGAAGCTAAAGATCAGTTTGAATTTCCGCTGCACCATTGCCAAACTACAACTTACTCAAACAATTAGCAATTATTGTTTATGAAGGAGCCTCGAACATAATTGAGGGTACCCAACTAAGAAAACTTAATCACAGTCCTTATCCGACGGTTTCTGAGGTACGTAAAAGAATTTGGGCAGGCAAGCATGAAGCTGCTCAAGAACGAAAAATAAAAAAGAAACACAAGCAAAAAGGTGAAGGTTGGTTGCTACCTGATACGGATGAGGGAAGCTAACGGAGAAATAAGGAATCCAACTGCAGAGAAGGGGAGGCACCTCTACGAAACGAAACAGCTTCACGCCCAGACAACCGTCCTGTAAGAACGATGCCTAAGATGCACGCAACGCGCTGCTCTATTACGCACGCGTGCGCTAACGTGTGTGTGTGTGTGTGTGTACATAAATGCGTGCGTGTGGGATTTCTGTTGCGGGTCATGGGCTCGTGGCTGTTTGAAGGACAGCTTGGGCTGGATTCTTAATCATGGACTTGGACTTACTTTCCAAAGTCACGCTGAAACCACGTTGATTTAAAACAACCAAAAAAAAAAAAAAAAAAAAAAGGAAAATAAAAAAAAAAAGGTGGAGTAGCACTTAATGTTGGAACAAATAAAGTTTTGAATATAAGTGATAAAATTTCGGTCAGGAAGATATGCTCTCATTTAGTTTGGAATTGTATCTTAAATAAAATTATCTTTGATAAAAAAATATATTTAAGCAACTGAAAAAAAGAGTGATAAAATAATCTTAGTTCCTTAACTATTGCATTTTGCGTTTGAATCTTTGGCGAAGGCAATGGAGATTTAGAAGAGTTACACTACTTGAGATCCAATTCAGATTCAAATTAGTTTGAGTTGTCAATTTCAAACACAAGATGCTCTTACTATCAAAAAAATAAAATTAAATAAAGCTTTCAATAGTCAAATAATATAAGCTTATCCATTGTATTGAAACCCAAATTGGACTGGCATTCAACCCGTGAATGTGACTCAATCTCTTTTTTAATTTGCATTTTCATCTAAATCGTTTAGCTATTGACCTAATGTGACTCGGTTGATCCAGGGTCAACTCGGATAACTTGACTGGGTTGCTGAGTCAGTCGGGTCACTTTTTTTATTTTTATTTTTTTAAAATTGTAAAACTGAATAAAAAGTAAAAATTCATCTTGAAAATTTAAAAAGCGAGGCAATCGAGGGCAAGGCAATTAAATCAAATTTTAGTGTCTATAGTTCAAACTTTAAATAGAAGGATTTAATTATAAGTTTGAACTTAGAAGATTCAGTATTCTTCTAAGTTAAATGTACCTTAATTGTTTTAATTATCCATTATTTGCTGTTGTTCATTTTTCAGATTGTTGCTTAGCATTTATGAATTATGATTGTCATTATTAATAATTTTAGTATTAATGATTATTAGTTTTAGATTTTTTAATGATTGAAAGGTTGTAAATTGTAATTATAAAATGAATATTTAAAAATTTATATTTTATTATTGTTAGACTTTTGGGTGGTTATAATTCTATAATTATTATTATATTTGCACCTTATATTAAAAATTAATTTTAAATTTGATTAAATATTTTTATAATAAATATTTTTTTATTTAAATTATGTTATTTTAATTATGACTGTTTTGCTCTCTAGATTAACCGTTATTGAATCACTAACTCATGTTAGACTTATCTGAGCTTGACATTATGGCGTCTCACTTCTTTTTACGACGAAGGGTTAATTTAGGACATTGCCAATAGCTAATTGTTTTAGTAGCGTCGTCACCATCCCTTCTGGATATAGATCATGGTTTGAAACCAACTTTAACACGTGTGTCGATGCTAGCATGAGCATGTGTCTCTTTCTCCTTCGAAGAAATGGTTAGATTAGGGATCATTTTTTTTTCTTTTTAAAAAAAGGGTCATCTAATCACAATCATGCCTTATTATTTTTGTGAATGCAGAAAATATCTTTGAAAAAATTACTTCTAATTGTGCTTGATAATGCTTGAACATAATTAAATCAAATAGTTATGTATAAAACAAAGAGACAAAATATAAATTTAATTTTATTATTTGGTCAAATTGTAAATGCATTTTTCGTGAAACTTTGTAGGCCTGGGCAGGAGCAGCCCATGTCATCCCCATATAACTTCATTCCATTGCATCACACGCTCGGTTCCTATTTCTCGCAGCGTCACCCTCTGTTTTCTTGCTCTGTTTTAATAATCCAAATGGGTTTATGTTAAACTTTTGAGATTATTCCCTTTGATTTTCGTCATTTCTTTAGTATAAATTATAAGCTGGTTATGTAAAATAAAATGCGTCTGCAAAATTACCACCCAAGAATGTATTGGTATATATAATTCAAGAGATTCCATTAAACGGTGAAAAAACTTCCTAACTTATCTTGCATTCTGCGCAGTTGAATTTCTTTCTAACTGACATTGATGACCTCACTTTAGTATAATTCCTCATTCCTCGTTTACCATTTCCCCTGTTTCTGTTTCAAATTATCCAAACCTGGGTCTCTCTCCATGTGTACTGGATAGAAGATCCATGTATAATAATTTGAGATAGTGTTTGAATGGACGTTGAATTTGAACTTAAAATTTAAAATTTTACACTTAAAAATTCATATATTTAAAATTATCAGTTTTGAGAGCACTTTTAAAGATAGAAGAGAAACAATCAGAAATTTAAAACAAAAATAAAAGATTGAAAGTGGTGAGTTTACTTATATTTTAAAAATAAAAACAAAAGGTGGGAGGAGTTACGAAAATAATAAAGGTATCAATAATAAAAATGTAAAAAAATGAAAAAAAAATTAAAATAACTGAAATTTTAAATAAATATGGTTTAACAAATATAACATTATAAAAAAATTATAATAAAATATAAATTTGGTTAAAGTTCAAATCTACAATACTTACATTTGACAGAAGCATTAACAGTAAGATGGATGTGTAGGATTCAGCTTCATGTTCCATTTTTTAAGCGACTTGGATGTTTCCCTGCAAGTGGATGAGTGAAGAATTCGTCACACATGATGTTGCTTGGTGTACTGTGCATGTGATTTGCTATCAAAATGACAAGGTGCTGATGTCAATTGGGTTCTAATTCCCTTAAAGTGATCAGATCTGGTTACCCAAATGGACCCAGAGACGGTGGAAGTAGTTACTGTCAAGTGATTGTCATTTTCTAAAAGCTAGAATTTTGCTGTCACATTATTGTTCATATCTCTTTGTTCATGAACTAAATTCCCTCTTTAAACAACCTTTAAAGCACAAGTTTCGGCATGAGACACACAAGTTATGTGCTGGCTTGGCTGCTCTCTTTCCTTTTGGAGCCATGTGCATTAGCTGTTACTTGAATCAACTAGTACTCAAGGTTTGTTCTTCGAGATAGTTGCCAAGTTGTCTCCTCTACTTTTAGATGCATGAGCCATGGTAAGATCTATATCTATATCTATGTATCTTGGTTATTTCTAAGCGTTACAAAACTGACAGAAGAGCAATTTTGAAATCCAGAAACTTTATATATATATATATATATATATATAAAGTTTTGCATAACTGCAAGTGATTTCTTAAATATCATAGCAGAAAAATCTTCATTTATAATGGAACCAGCTTCAAATATACTAAGTAAGTGCAATTTACAAATTTGGAGAATACTTCCTTCAGACTAAAATATAGGACATTGGTAACTAATTCACAATTTTTAAAAAAATTTATTTGAAACCTTAATTTCTTACATTAAATACTTTATATAGATACTTTGATAATGATAATTAAAATTTTAATGTGTTTTTTAAAAAGAGTAATAAATAAAGTAGGGGTATGTTTGAAAAATAATTATAAAAATTATTCAATGTTCTATATTTTGAACTAAATAAAACTTTTAGAAGATATCTTATATTATAGTCCGGAAAGAGAACTTTTTTTTGATGCATTATTATCTGGATTTTAAAAATTTAATTTTAACTCAGCTCCTATGTCAACCATGAGAATAACAAAGCCTCTGTTGATACCTTAAATTGATTTGTTAAATTTCCACTTCTTTTCTTTTTCCTGTGCTCGCCATTCTTTGTTAAATCACTCATGGATTGTTTAGTTTGCCTTTGGCACATCTTGCTATAAATATGAATTATTATTTCCTCCCAATTTTATCACACGTCCCCAAGGGACAATATAAAATATTGTTTTAGGCTATTGATGTATTTAATTTTAAAAAAACCACGACAAAAAATTTAAAATATATGCATCTTTTTTTAGTAATCTAGATTATTTTTAAACATAATTATTTTTATATATAACTTAAATGGTTAGAGGAATGCAAATGAAATTTTAAAAGATTCATATGTATTTTAAAAATATAATAAAATATATGTATAATTAAAATAAAATATAGGAAATGTAAGTGTATTTTACTCTATAAGTATGTACTTTTTTTAATAGCCGTAAGTATGTACTTTAATCTTTGATAAATTTATGCCTTATATTTTTCAATTCCAATGCTCAAGGTATTTTTTTACCTATACATTTTTTGAAATTCTACTTTTACTATTCTCCTCAACTTTACTTTATTACAATCAAGTCTTAAAATTTAGAGAAAACACTTTTTTACATCCTTATACTTTAATTTGTTTGAGTTTTATTATAATTTTTTGTACTTTTTTTTTTTATATTCCAGGTTCATATACTTTTTTCTATGCACAACGTTGGTCCCTGTAATTTTAGGAACTTTGATGTGGTACAAACAATGTTAAGATTGCTTATGTGTTCACTAACATCATTAAGTTTGTGTTGATGTATTAAATAGATGTTGAGTTAGACTTTTTAATAAGCAAAATAAATTAAAAAATTAAAAAGCTACATCAAATTAAAAAAAAGGTTGAGCTAGAGTTAAAAAAACTCTCAACTTAAAATATTTATAAAATATATCAAAAATATTTAAAATTTAATACTTGTGTTTGAACCAAAACTAGAGCGTTAGGCCCAATTATAAAAGATTCTAAAGCCCAAACCAGAGAGGGTGGAACTCAGGCCAGTTATGGTCCAATTGGGTTGGGACAAGTGAGTGGCTTTTGAGGAAAGGTTTGACAAAGTCACACCTACTCCTCCCACCATCTGAGATTCTCGACACTCTAGCACCCACCACTTCACGTGATGGAACTCCCTCTAAGCAATTATAAGCATAGACGGTTATCTATTCCTATTGGCACCAACCTCAATTTCAAAAAGGACTGTGTTGTTGCCATTTGTTGTAAATAGGCAACAAGTGCATAAGTCAATCTTTCGACGCTCTGCCAAATTTACACTAGACTTTTCGAACACAATTACTCAAAATCTTGACCTTGTATCATCTTGAA